GTAGCGCAGAATGACAAATGGGACCACCAGAAATACTAATTTCGCTTTATATCATTACTATATAATACAATTCGTAATTTAACATCTATAACTATAATTTTGCATCATCGGAAGCTACGAAGGTCGTTTTAAATCCATCACTCATCCCCAACAAGATATTAAGGACCTTTTTGCATTGGACTATTAAAAACTTATTACCGTCTTTCGCCTAATACAATGATACATAATACATTTTTTAAAAATATTAAGGAATTATTTAAGACTACTTTTTTAGTAAAGAAGCGAAGAAATGTGTTATTGCCTCTATGGTAAAAGTGAGTATTGCTCGGCCTTACGGACCTTTCTTATTAACAACTTGATTATTGTATGTAATAAATCTAAATCTCTTAATTACTTTTAATGCTTTACAAATCATTAGACAGAATATGATAAGCATAAGAAATGACATATATATTAAAGTCCTAAAAATAAAAAAAAACAATGTCAATAATGTCTCTATTTGATTTTCTAACAGGAAATAACATTTGAGGTAAGTTAAAAAACAAAATGGAGTGCGTGGGTGGCGCTTGACGACAGTATTAGTGGTAATATGACCAGATTGTTATTCTTACAAATTGTTAACAACAAATAAATGGATGTCATCATGCCATAGTTAACGACCTTTTTAAACAATACTTACAAAATTAACCCCAAATAAATTATAATGTCATTAATTTCAATATACAATTCTAATTTAATTAATCGATTAGTGCGACTGGTATTAATAATCACGTTGCGTCAATACATGCTACTTAAGAAATTATACGGTTATTTTGTAATATCCAAATGAAGACTGACCGTTATTTCCATGAATTATGCAAAGTGTACGAACACGTCCACAAATTAAGTAGATTATAATTTAAACTTCACATAGCATTAATATTAAGAACAGATCATATATGAGCAGCAATAGTTAAGATTTTGCTCCGATATCAATAAATTGATGGACGGTTTTATAGCACTGTGTGTAACAAAATAGCCACGTGGTCCTCTTCATCCCCTAATATAATTTGGTCTCCCTTTCTTTCCTTCCAATGATTTAATACGATAAAGAAGGACCGAATATGAACGTCTATGTGTGGGTATGGAGGGATCCCAAACATCTGCCGCACTTTATATTTTTTCGGTGATTGGAGTAAAACCTAATAATAATAGTACTGAGATATTTTTTTATGTTGTCTAAAATTTGTATAATTTACAAATACAATCTGTGTTAATCACAGCTAAGTAAATTATATTTATTGTTGAAAATGTTTATCTGAAAGTTGTATTTGTAGATTGTGCTATTAAAATACATTGAAATTAAAAAAAGCCACTAGAACTCACTAAAATATAAAGAAACAGAGATGACACTTAAATCCCCCATTCATAAGAGAGAAATTGGAATAACTAAGAAGATTTTAAAAAATAATAGCAAAATTGTCGAGTAAAAACATTGAAATCCCAATGCAAGTTTGCAAGGGGCTAAGTTTTGTTCGTCTGGAGAGAAATAATGATTTTCAAAAGCGTTTTGTGTCTGGACCACTGTTGAAAGCAGTATATTGTTATTTTTGCTCCAGATATTGTTGAAAGGGAACGGACTACCATGGGAAGTTATTTGTTCGTTTATTTCAATTGCTTTATATTTGAGTCTGAGAATTTCTGTTTTAAACCTTCACAGTCTATGTACAAATTACTTTTAAATTTGTATACATTTTTCAATTAAAAGAATAATTATTTAAATCCAAAAATAGTAATTTAATATTTAAATTCAAATCATAAATAATTTATTACACGACTCTGCTGTTTTGTATAAACCTAGCCAATCATATCTCGTGAAACAACGATGGTTATTAGTTCTGTCTCGATTTGGTTCTAAATAATATTAAATTTGATGCCTATACAATAAAAAAATCTCCAAACTTCCTCACCCTACAACCCGCGCCGGATATTAGGCCCTTTCAAGTCCCCTTGCATAATACAGACTCCTAGTTCTCTAGATGCAGCCTACGGTGACCTTATTTACCATTCAAGTTGAAGGTTCCCTTTTATTCTAATTAGAAATAATACCGTCTGGCCGTCTATGTACAAGTATGATAGGTTGCAGTAACTGGTCTATACAAAACACAGCTGTTAACTGACTTGAAAGCACAGGTTAGGATTTAGTTTTATTTTCATTCATGATCTTGTTTGACTTTATTCTTATTTGAACTTGAGTAAGCCGACCTTCGAATGAATCTCGAAAATGTATTGCTTTTAATGGTGCTCGAGTTTTTTATTGAATTTAGTTACTTTAAAGAATTTGAAGATGATGATATTTTTGAATGAATACGAACATTTTGTAGTTTTTGTAATAAAAAAAATTAATAACCTTAAACTTTATATACCTACTAGAAGACCTGGCAAACTTCGTATCGCCCTATAATCAAGAAATATCTGTTACGTTTTTTTATTTATATTTTTGGAGTTTACCTATTAAAGCCATAAATCTCCGTGTTTGAAGTGCGACAGAATGATTGACATATTAGTTAGTTGTCAAATCTAATGTCAAAAAAACATTTGTATGAACAACTACTAATAAATTAAAAATTAATTTAAAAAACATTGTCCAGCGTACAAAATTGTGAATCTAAACCATTCCCAGATCCCCTTGAACACACACAAAAAATGTAATCAAAATCGGTCTAGTCATATGAGAGAAGTTCAGTGACATACACACTCACAGAAGAATTATATATATATAGATGACTATTCACTTAACAGTTAAAGAAAAGGGTTGCAATCACTCAGACTCAGCCTTCCCCTTCGTTACACCTTCGCATATGTTAAGAGCTTGAACTAAATATAGATAATCTGTGACACATGTTCGCAACATGGCGGTGCTCACCTTACCGCGAAAAAACTTTCATCTTGTGTTACAGGATGCCCTTGTATTAGGATGACTCTAAAAGCGTAATCAGCTTAAAGGATACATAATATTTAGTCTTACAGCTTATATCATATACATTTTTTATACATATTAAACTCCGATAAGAGAATATAACTAAACAACAAAAACTTTTAAATATTAAGATTCTTCATTTATTATGAGAAAATCTTATATATACAATTGACGCAGTGAAAACTAACTATCCTTAGTTTTGTCTTCAGTCAATATTGCATTAAGATATATGAAGGCGCACTTACTTCTTTTATTCAGGGCAAAGGCCTGATCAAATATGATTAGCGAGGCTCAGTTTTATTATTTCCAGCATTTGCTTTGAATTTACAGACAGGCTTGACCGAATTGTGTTTTATTCTAGTATTATAAATTTTGGCTCTTTTACAACTGTGGAATTCATGTGAAGAATTATGTACCATAATTTACATACTCATACATATCAATTTAATAAATAATTTAAATGATTGGTAAGTGTGAAATTCGTACCAGTTATAATTGATTTTGTCTTTTGTTGTATTACAAATATTACGACTTATTCAGTGATGACCCTTAAAAAATTAAGTAACTTAAGTATGTACATATTATCAATGATATCATTAAAAAAAAAATTTAACTGCAGTATTTTTCAAAAACCTTATAACCTCCGAGAGTTTATCTATAAAGAGAGTCTTCTTAACATAATATATCTCTTGAAATGTGATATGATCATAACAATTATGAGTAAGAAAATACATAAAATGTTTAAATAACGCTATATATTGATTGCACTTCTTGGTTCTTTTAAAAATATATTATTTTTCATAATGGTAAAATTAGACAGTAGTCGAAAGCCTCAATATCGTTTACTTTAAAACCAAATCAAAACCATTAATAATTTTTGTTTTCGAAAAAACCGTTTACTAAAACCCTTTCCCTATTCTTTTATATAAACGTACAATAGTTTTCATCATTATTACAAAATCGACCATAGATAATCAAACAGAAGAATTATTTTTGAATGAACCAATGCACGTTTGATATGTGAAATAGCTATTAAAGAATGGTCATAGATCGGCGCGTGCCATCACACAAAGAAGCGCAGGCGCAGCTGGCGTAGGCGTACACACACACATACACAATAAGTGTTAGAAGAAGCAATTAATTCATGTGTCTTAGACTAAGTAAATACTTGTAATAAAACATTTCTTTCCAAGTTTTACTAAAGTTAATTTAGATCAGTATTTAAATTATGTTTGAAATTTAATCTTAAAATTTATTGTAGCATTTGTTTTGTTTCGATAAATACTAGTACAATATGTAAATTTTAACAATTATTTAATAAGATATAATACCAAAGAATTTTAGGAATTAAAATTTTTACACAAACTGTTTCCTTAAAATGAATTAACTCATGCGTATGCTTTTTAGAAATTACATTTTATACACGCGAACGGCTCTGAGCCCGTTATTTCGCATGTCTCTACACATTTCATCTAAAAATGGCAATGTATGTGTGTGCCATTCATACATACACGATTGTAGTTGGGTGCGACACCCCATGAAATTATTGTCCTCTGTAACCCGCGGAGCAACTCAACGTTAAGGTTCACAAAGTTTCAACATTTTAACAGCAACAACTTGATAAATAAGTTATAAACTGAAATAAATATTCTAAAAAACGGAAAAGAACACACTTTTTAAAATATATGACTGCATGGGAAATAATTCATATATTTTTTTAATAAATATACCTGAAATATCTCAAAATAAAACAAAATTGAATAAACAAGATTTTTCCAAAAGATTCACTTTTAAAATTTAACAGCTATCATAGAACATCAACGCTTCCCCATTCCGCCCTATAAACATGTGCTCGTAAACGTAAGTACCTACCCCTGTTGATCCCCCCGCTAGCCGCGAGCCACCCCAGGTGCAACTCGGCACGCGCCATTCCTATCGCGACCGGCGCCCTGACGCCACCTAACAGTATCCTTAGTATTACGTGATCTAACAAACTACCACTAATCACAAGCAAACAGTTATGTGAAGAAACTCAACGAAAATGAGTTCCATAGGTGTTGTTGTGTTCCGCAATTCTCCGCTCAAACAACAGGTGCTCCAAGAAACTGTGAATAATTCTATAAATATAAGCAATAACGAGAACGTTCGTCGTGAAATCATAATATTGAGAAAGAAACAAAAACATCAATCCCAAAACACAGTGTCAGTGACGTCGCTAGTGAGTGCTTCAGAACAAAATAATATTGTTTTAGCTAAACGTCCCAAGCTACGTGAAAATATTCCTGATGAATCTACACGTACACCAACACCATTAGCGGTAGCGAGAAGAAATGCGCGGGAAAGGAATCGTGTACGTCAAGTCAACGACGGTTTTGCTGCTTTGAGGCGACATATACCTGACGAGGTCGCTGCAGCTTTCGAAAACGCGAATTCGAATAGAGGCCCTAATAAAAAGCTTAGTAAAGTTGAAACACTGCGTATGGCTGTAGAATACATTAGAAATCTAGAGAATCTTCTCAATATAGGGCACGGAGATAAAGAAAATATGTCACGGCCATCCATGGAATCATTTCCGTCACCAGCATCTTCATCTCCGAGAGATAACAGCCAGGAAAGAAGTTATTATTCCCTTAATTCACCAGCTCTTGACGATGAAGATATGGATGAGGATGATTTAGATGGTTCCATCCATCGACTCCCAACTCAGCAATATATGGACCTACCTTCTGAAACTTTTCAATTAGTTTCCACACCACATTTATACGAGGAAGATGAAACTAGAAACCCACTTACTCCCTCATCTGACCTTCTCGGAGCAGAAGAAATAAACTCTCATGTTTTGGAAACACACTTTCCATTTCCTAACTCAGCTGAACAATTCACAGTAATTCCTGAACAAAACTATTGTGAACCAGAAGCTGCATTGAATGATGGAGATTTTGAAATTAAATATGCTGAAACAATTCAAAACATTCATCGCAACTTTGAAGAAGATTCACAGCTTCCATTACAATCAATCAATCCAGATTTGATGCTCTCACACAATCAATATAAATTCAAGGAAGAAAGTAAATATTTAGATCATCACTACAACGACGTCGATCTTAAAAAGGAACTACCAGACATACAAGTTACACCCGAAGATCGTGAACAATTCGAAGAGACCCTTAAATGGTGGCAAGAGAAAACTAGACAGGCGCGATCTATTCCTAAAAACAGCACTTGATCCTAAAATTTGTAAAGCAATTCCATTAAATTAAATTTGATGTAAATATTATGTAACTATGTGAAAAAGTAAAAACATACAGCTGTCGTGACCAAAGAGTACACTCGACACAGGCGCAAGGTGTTTCACGCTGTAACGGTCATTGAAAAAATAACAGCTTATAATATATATCATAACTGAGTCTACAATAGCTTATCTACTACACCTATCTTATAATAAAATTAAATATAAATGTCATTGATAATTGTAATGAAGTCCACTAGTATTAAATTTAACTTATTGTATTTATAAACAATTTGTCTTTTTATATTCATATTGGTTAGTGTAAATAAATATAATACGGGCACCGAATTAAAATACAAACTACTATAAAATACAAACTGTGCCTTGAATTGAAAATTATGTGATGTTAGAATAATTTTAACGTAATAAATTAAATGCTTTATTAATAATGTTTTTTGTAATCATATACCCTGTTTCACCTAATTTGAGATATTCAATAACCTTAATCACACCATTAACGACACATCTGAATGCCAACCCCTTAAAACAAACCCCTATACTAATGCAGCAAAACTGTTCAACTTTAAATGACCTACTTAAAACGTTGTTTGAAAAGACCGCGAGGTCGGTGCCACAATCAAACTATGCGTTAAAAATAAACAACAGTTTAAATTCCATTTAATAGAATATATCTGAACTTGTAACTTTTTTTCTTTTTTATGCTAAACAGATGTACATAGATACACAATTATTTTTAAACTAACTTTAATCTATAAACCAGTTTTATTCCTGTAATGTTTAGTGTTTTTTAGCACAAAGCACAGTGTTTTTAACAAAAAACTATGCAGAATGAATTATTAAGTTCATTTTATAGTTAAATTAAATTCAAACTAATCATGGCTTGAAAGATAACCGAAATGGTAGAACCAGTCTCCTGGCCGTTAAGGGCGGCGGTTGTATTGTGATTGTAATGCGTTGCCGTTACCCTTACAAAAAAGATTCAAGGGAGAGATTGAAAAGAATTTCGGATGCAAAGAACCGTTCAACATCAGTGCATAATCTTTTCTACTATGTAATTTCGGCATTTTTTATATGAGTTTATAAATAATTTATAGTAACTCTTAATGCGATCCCTCTCACTCTTTAAAGTTTCTTTCATAATTAAAGAAGCAAGCATAATTATGAAAAACATTATCTTCTTCCTAACTTTTCGCAGTTATTCTAAAATTAAAGTAAAACGTATTATCACATTTTATACAGGTAAATACAAGAATGTTAAAAATGCCAATATGTGTAAATAGGTTCCATCTCTTCACATATATCCTGTTTCCGGGATGGTAAGAATTTTAATAACTTTATTTTTTTTTAAACATTAAATCATATTTTACGGTTGCAACGTCTCGCTATTTGGGATTCCATTTAAGCATTTTCCGCTTCATTCGCTAGGCCGTGTTCAGTTTGATTAATATTTTTGAGTTCTTTAGATTTCAAAATTTTTATATAATCTTTTGGTGTATCGTGACTCGTCGTTTTGATTTCTGTATTAAACTTTGGTTAAAAACTACATTATTATCTAATGGATAAAAATTATCTTTTGATAACAGCTGTGTCTGGCACCGAAATTAATTTAATTCGCAATCCAAGTTATAGGTTATGTATTTGTTAGTCAGGTAATCATCTTTATTATATATTATGGAATGATTTTTTCATGGCTTATTATAGAGCATATCAACAATAATCAGCTCCTTAAATACAAGCCTGGTTGAAATATAAAGAACATGTTTTAAAACACCATTCAGATGTTTTATATATTACCTAAATATCTAATGAACGTATATTAAAAAATATATATTTTATTACCACATTAATAGTTTGAGTTCAAAAAAGCTAAGCTTGATATGTAGGTATAAATACTATATTCGTGGGAATATAAATCTTTTTTGGCGTAACTATAGAATGAAGAAAGATCGATGCACCAAAATGTCCGTTACGAGACGCTATGTCCTTTTTTTATTTAAGGTGTTGTTGCTAGCTCGTGCAATCTTGATACTTTAAATAAATACATATATCTTAAGTTACATTATTAAACGATGCTTAAGATTACCGCCAGCAGATATTAAAATCATACAATTATATGATAAAGTATATATAAGATATCTCAATGCTATTATTGATCCTTTTTAATTTTCTGCAATTGTCGTCTTTATAATAATAAGCGTTTCAATAAATTTTGCGAATCTTATCTGTTGCTTATTAGCATTTTAATTAATTGAAAAAGAGTCTGTTGAGGTGGAATTGTTGTATAAGTTTAAAGTTATTATTACGTATCAAACATTACCAAAACAAACTAGTATCAAGATCGCTCATCCTCTCTTATTAAAGTCAAAGAAGCAACCCCATTGTTGTAATACTTATTCTTGCGTAGCTCTGGCGTCTTTCATCGAGGTCGCTCTATTGTCGCAGAGTTCATGGGAACGCAAAAAAATATCGTTGCAAGTCCACGTGTTCAGATTAAGATGACTTATAATCTGTGTGTGCTATGCTTATAATGCCCTTTATGCAGCTCCTTCTCAGCTAATAATAATATCCCCAAAAGCTCAAGGCTATAAAAGCAAGAACCTTTGAGAATAAATTAAAAAGATCTGTTCTATATAATATAAAAAGATATTGGTAAATAAAGTGTGCATTTATTATAATTTAATTAATTTATATTCCATGCATGGTTCATTATTTGCTCGATTGCATTTGTTAAATTTTGTTCCATAATTATCATATAAAACCGAAATGTGTAAATATAATATTATATATACATATATAGAGTATATGAATATCTCATGAACATTCCAAGCCCAATAACATACATAGAATAAATATTTTATTGTGAATGATAAAAACCTAATAATAAATAATCTAAATATAAAAATAACTACTTCTATATATAAACGACGAAACCTATGAATGTTAAGTATTACACATTGACTGTAATCTTTCAATTATCATATTGAATCAGAAGATTATTTAAAAGAATTGACAAATAACAAATAATATTTTAAATTTTATTTAGTCTCAATGACACGACATTGATAAGCTATCAGTTCATTGCCTTGATGAAGCACTTCATTGACACGATTACATCGAAAAGCATTCTTAACAATTAGGTGGATCAGTTTATAATCTAATTATCCAATAAATCGACATTCAAAACTATACTATAAATTTCGAAGTTTTGTGTAGCGCACAATTAGAAATATAAAGAAAAAGATTTCCTTCTTAATTAAGATAGTATTTGCCTCTAAGATATATTTATAATATTCATTGTTATTTAAAAAGTTGTTTCATTTCAATTTCATACACGTTGGAACGTTTTAAAAATACATTTTAACTTTTATAAAACATTAAATTATTAAAAATAATAAGAGGATCTATGGATGCAAACACACTTAGGTAGGATACTCAAGTATTTTTTTAGCATAACAGATAATCTAAGAGACAGTGATCTCCAGACTCCGCCATACGGTGTACGAAGCCCATCTGGTGCTGCAAACAAAAACGCTAAATTAACTGAAGCCAAAAGTCATGGTGGCATATGCTTTACAATTACTTTAATTCGTTTCAAATCTTCCTGTGTTGATTTATTTGAAACCGAACCATATGACTAGACTAAAACTGTTATGAACTTAAAATACTATAATATAACTTATATTATTTTATTATATTATATTTTCTTGAAATACAAACTGTTTTAGTATTTTATTTAGTAATTAAAGCAATTGAGATGACTTAGGAAGTACAGCTCAGTTGTAAATTAATGTTAGCCAAATAATGTATATGCTATCTTAATATTTCGTTATGAATTCAAATAAAACTGTACTATTAAATTAAAAAAGAGATAAATAAATTTACCCCTAAGTGTAAACAACTCGTTAATTATTTATTAGTCATAATAATACCAAAAATAGCAAAACGTGTAATGTGTTTATATTTAATATGTATTAACAGTGTGACTTTGTACCTTTACACATAATATGTAGGTATATGCATTTCATATATACATTAAAAGTATCCACATAAATGATTTGATATATTTTTAAATGCAACAAAAATGGTATTTGTTGTAATATAAGTAATGTAGATTTCTTTTACACGAAATAGTTTTTCAATATGAAAAAAGAGTCAAGTAAATTTCATATATCTCTTGACGGAATTTTTATTCTCTTAGATTATTACGCCTTATCTAAATTCTAAAACAATATGACTTTTTAGTTATAAATCATTCTCTTAAATAAGTATTTTTAATTGTATAATTAAAAGGAATTTCCTAAATCTAATTTTTTTTTGTTTCAATGTGAAACTTAATGCCCTTATCTAATAATTGAGCTCTATCAACATAAATTGTAAATCTTTGCTAGCTTATTATTAATACTAAGTCTACATTGTGTAAATACAGAATCTTTATTAACCATATCTTTGTTCTTTGTATTTAAATTATTTGCCGCTAGCTATAAACGCAAACCTCCTTGATTTCATTTCTTGTAGACCTTCTAATTTAAGTCAGACTTAAAAAAATCTTTCACTTAATAAAATATATAAGTGTTCCGAACTTCACACTTACTTCGACAAAGTACACAGTTTTAATATAAATACTCTATCTTTGTTCGACGTAATTTAGTTGTCATAATTATATGTATTACTGTATCACTTACTTTACACTATATGACAAGCAGTTAAATCTTTATCAGGTTATAACTCATGTATTGAGAACATTAATGACAATAACAGAACAATATAATAATTTAAATACAAAATGATCACTTTTGGAGTGAGATAAAAGTATGTAATTAAGTTAAAATAAATCCATATTACACAATTATAAACCAAGATCTTGATTTTAAGTTAATGCTTTGGAATCGAATGTCAAAGGTCTATTGTGTATACATAGTAAGTATTAAGATGATCATCACTAGTGTGTACCACGTGTAGAATTATATAATTGCGAATAGAAATAGAAACCGCCTGTCATGTTAATTTTATGACTTTTGAAAATAGGCTACAAAAACAAGTATAAAAATAGCAAATTTAGACATGGTTCGCATAAGTTGTAAATATTTTTCAAATTAAGAAGGAAGAAAGACAATTACTTACAAGAAGTTCGCATGATGTAATTTAAAGGATTCTGTCTCGCTTCAGAAAATTTAATTATTTTTAAAAATAATATTATATAATTTAAGGCAATGAATAAAACGTCTGTGAGAGTTACTCATTTACTTTATTATATAATTCTAATATTTATCATGTTAAAAGCATCTTTAGGCTTATATGTTTCAAAGAATTAGGACATATAGAACCGAAAACTTGTTATCATTGAAATCAATAACACACCCACAAACAAAACAATTTCGAACATATGACCTTAAAAAAAGAGAAGTGTTTTTTGTTGCAACCGTATAGTAAATTATTTAAATGTTAAACCACCCCATACTATACCGGAATCACGAACATATTGCAAGCAGGGCAACCATATCTCCTCCAAATGTCGCTACAATTGTGGTACATGCATCGGTTAATTCATTAATTATTGTTATACATACAATTTAACATAACTTTGTAACAAGTTACAATAATAAATACATCAACTGTTAAAAGTATTAGGTAATTATACGAGTTATCTTTATCAAACAGTTAAACAAAAAGATAACAAATTACATTATTACTAAGCAAAGTGAATTAATAGTCATCCAATATATTTAATTTTTATTATGAAACTTTTTTGGAAAAACTTGATTAAATAACCTAGTATCGTCTCTTAAACAGGTTTTGGGGCCCCGAATCATCACCTTTCTGAACCATTTCGTTATTGACTTCTACATACATATATGTATATATGTAGAGTCATAATAAATTAATTACTTCTGCATTCACACACTTAATCCTTGATACACAAAGAGATACGTCTAGTATTACACATTATTTCCTGTAAAATAAAACCAAACACTTGGTGAAGATAGATTTATTTTCCATTACATTTATCAATAGTGATTACGTAATTGAACTGTGGTATTATAATACACCAATGTAAATATTCACTCTTTTGTAAAATAAGAACTCATAAAATTATTAAAACATGTATTTTGCTTGTTAATGCGGCAAATGTATTTCAAATAATATCAAAATATTGGTCAGTAGAATTCTTTATGCTTCAACTCCACCCCCTTAAGGGTGAAGCTTATTTTGTAGTCAATTTTTTATAACATTCCTGTCTAATTGATAACACGTGTACAGTTTCCGCCACGTGTCCTATTGATATTAAACATTCGTTCCGTTTCCATCAACCAAAAAATCATGATATGATATGCATTTCGTTAATAATAAACAAATGAATGCACAGGAACTACTCAAAAGTAAATGTAAAGAGGCACGTTCTTTACAAATCCTAGTTTAATTTGGTTTAAAATAAGCCTCTAATTTAGGATAGTTATTAACCATTTATTAGTATTCAAAAAGATCATTAAAATAATGATTTACTACAAAAATTATAAGCAAAGAAATATTATGTAAATTAAACATAACATTTTACAACTACAGAAAGAGATCACAAACACAATTTTAAGTACAATTAGAGACAAATATGTAATTGCGATAACAAATTGCGATATTAAATTGACGTAAATCTTACGTAATATACACATGTAAATTACTTAAATATTTCGTCGTTAGTATAGTACGTAGGTTAAAAATATTGTTCCTACAATAATCAACATTTAAATCTTCTTAAGCTTCAAATAAGTTACGTAAAAGTCTTTCTACACTTTCATATTTTATTAAGAGTCACTATATATAGAATACCCACTACCCAGATGGTTTCCTGATTTTTTATATCCGACAAAAACATGTCGCGTTCCAAGTTCCAACGTGGGAATTTCTAGAGTATGAAAAAAATCCTTGCAGATGTCAGCGAATCATGGAGTGGTACTTCATGGGTCATAGCCACGTGTCAAAACAGGAAGATGTTTGTAATTTAGCGACTACGCGTGCCACTTGTCCGTCTCTAACGTACTGTGAAATAGACCTGCCCTTTTTATAATCAAGTACACGTCAAGCGTCATAAACTTTCTTGGATAATCATAATTAATCATTGCTTGGAAAATTTAAGCAAATTTCCTAAATGTTTATCGAGCTATAAAACGTTGCCGAAGGATATAAAACAATAAATTTAGTAGAAGATTAAATATCTTGATACTGTTAGATTGTCCGTGACATTCATTGTTATCTCTCTTGACTTAATTTTATATATAGATAATAACAAACGCTATTTCCTAATTAGTTATTATTTTAAATATATAACCCACTAAACGGGTGACCATTTAAACTAACGTCGAACAATAAATTATTAATAATTACCTATTTTACCTATATTAAAAATCATTTAATGTCTAAATGAGAAAAATTTGCTAGTTTATGAGCTAGCTAGTGCGTTACCTTGTCAGTAACTTTTTACTACAACTTTACCGTTATACATTGGTCAATTCAGTGGTTTCTTTTTTTCTCCCTTTGTCTCCATATCTAAATTCTTCAGCTATTTGTAAAAGAGTTTTACCTCTTGTTTCCGGTAGGTAGAAATACAAAAATATAGTTCCAAATAATGTTGATATACCATAAAATAAATAAGTCCCATGATGACCAAAACTTTTAAACATAGCTGGAGCAGTTTTAATTGTACCAAAAAATGCTACGGAAGTCATCATTACACTTATTCCAGAACCCAAACCCTTGGTTTCAGTGGCAAATAATTCACCAACCATATTCCAAGGCAACAATGATATCCCCAAGTTAGAAACAAAAACATAAATAGCCATCAAAGTGAGAGAAATTATCGGTGATATGTGTCTTATGATCCGTTTTTCCAACATATACAAATAAATAGCTAATAGTACTAAAGACAATGTAGTAAAAACGCCACTAAATAGAGCCAAAGGTCTTCTACCTTTTCTTCTAAGTAAAATACAGGCTGAAACCAAGGCAATCACTCGTAATATATCTATAGCCAACATAGCAGCGTAAGTATTAGAATTGTTTCCTATAATAACTTCCATAATATCTGTTGCATAAGCGCAAACCACATTAATACCTGATAACTGAGTCACTATGAAAAACACAATCATTATACACAAGGGTTTCCAAAACTCAGGCTTCTTTATATTCGCTGTTAATGTTTTCAATTTACTTTGCACTTCCTTCTTCTTAGTTTGGTCTTCTATCATTTTATCAAGTTCCACTTTCATAGCTTGGCTGGTTCCTCTATACCATTGAAAAGCTTTTATACATCTATCGATTTCATTTTTAGAAGCCAACCATGCCGGTGATTCTGGTGCAAAATAAAGAATTATACATCCTAATAGAGGGAAGGCTCCACAAAGGAAAGAAGCGTGACTCCAGTGTAAAAATGTTCCAAATAAATGTGACATGAAGACCCCCGACGCTATGCTTAAAGATAAACCGGCCAAAAATAACCCTCTATATGCCGGTGAACTTATCTCTCCAACAAAAACAGGGCCTAATGGACCTAACCATCCTTGACAAAATCCTGTTATAAATCGTCCAAATAAAATTAAATGGATATTGCCGGCAAATCCAATGATAGTCCATCCTCCAATGTAAAAGACAGACAACAAGATCTGTGACGCTCTTCTTCCCATTTTTTCCATTAGGTATCCTGATATCATGTTACCAAACAAAAGCGCCAAAGAAGCCATAGCCGCTGCAAAATTTAGATTAAACTTCATCAACAACGTTGACACATATGGAAATTATAAAATCTCTATTTATTTATTTACAAGCACTAAAATAAATAATTCGTCATAACATAAAAGTTAAATAAATTTGAAAATGAGTATTTTAATTTTTACCTACCCACCCATGATTCCATTTCTGTGCTAAAATTATGATTGTTCATATCGTGTTTCAATTGAGGTATTAGGATGGATGAGAAGCCAGCTGTGGCACCAGCTCCAAAGGACAGCATAAACGCTCCCGTTGAAATAAATGCCTGGAAAAATTTAAGTATCAATTCATTCTACTTATATTGTTAATTCAAATAAGGTGTTAACATGGAAGGATGAATGAATAAAGCGATGATTTATGCTGAAGTGATCAATACCAGAAGGCTTTTTATTCAACTTTACCGTTACATAGTTAAATTAATTATCAGAGTTATCCATTGATTTAAATTAGAAAGCTAAGGAAGATGAAGTAAATTGGTAAAATTAAAATATATTACAATATTATACCCTTATATATATGTGTGTGTATATAATAAATTCTTAAAGCTTACAAAGTCATCTGTAAACAAAGGCATAAAATTAACACTAAAATGAGTCATCCTGGTTACCCTTGAATTGGTAAGGTTACTTGATAAAGCTTAAACAATTTAATTATAAATTATAAACACTACACACAAAATTTATCGCCTGTATGGTATACTAACATATCGAATCATTAAGGGCTATAAGTATAAACCATTGATCTAAAATAAATGAATTTCACTGTATACTGTTTGTCAAATAAATTGATAAGAAGTATATCTATCTTGCTACTACTATAATTTAATTCAAGTTCACTATTCCTATGATTGATATTTTGATAATCTTATCATGTTTTAAAACTCGTTTGAAACGTAAAAAACCAACCCCTTATATATTTCTTTTTATAATATATGTCATTTTTTTTAATAGGAGTAAATAAAAAAAATACTTTTCTTTTTTTCTCATTTACATTAAAATTTAATAATACCTATTAAACAGTTTTGACAGTCATTATCACAATAATTTTTTTATTCCACGTTTTGACACCTTGCAATATAAATTTGTAATATGTCCAAATTAAAATTTATATCGAAATTAATGAGAGCTTACGAAATACTAATAACATTTATACAGTTTAATTTTGCTAACCGACTTTTTTCTAATTCATTTGCTTTTTTCTCAGTACTTTGATTTAAGAGAACTAAGAAAAACATAAATCATTGAAACAAAACTTTATAAGTAATAAGATAAATAATAATTACTCAGACACTGCCAGTCAGTTTCAATGGAATTGTTAGAACAAAAGGAATCGACATCGTACAATCGAAAATCACTGGGTAATAATAAATAACACAATTAAAAATAATAAACCTGTCTAGCAAAAGGTGAATGTCTTGATTCCACTTCACTGTAAGTTTTTTCCGTTTCAATCTTTCCATTTTCATTTCCACTGACGTTAATTTTCTCTAACTCCGACGTGTGGTCCATCATATGAACCTCTTGACACTGCGTCTAAACAAGAAATGAGTTCAATCAAGTCAGAACTATTATCTTATCACCCATAAATAAATATTCGTATTCATATTTCTGACGTATACATCTACTAACAATACGTACGGAAACAATCAGCTGTGTGAAGATATCTGGACTAATGGTTTTTTAATACTAATTTGAGTGCGTTCTTGTACGAAACTGAATAAGAACTGATTTACTCCAGCTTAACGTTTGGGAAGAGGATTTAAAACTTGTTTCTTATTTTGTAATGTTGGTCGTGACCCGAGTTGGCCCTTGATGGCAAATTTTATTATAATAAAATGGTAATATTGACATTTTTAAAAGCTTTCCTAACAAATATGAACAGCTTAATTTATCTACAACAACAATTTGAGTCTCATTTATATTCATAGGCAGTTTCTAATTATTTTAAATCATAACAAAACTAAAATACTTTTTTTGAAAGCTTTTAAATTATATTTTTAAACATAAATATATTTAAAAGACTTAGGGTTCTAATAATAATTAATTGTTATAATTGTTTTACTTTTTTCAGTATAAAAGTCTTTTATTTAATATCTTTTGTCATTAAAAAAAAAATAAAATAAAAGCGGTCGCCCTTCTTTATTTCCTAACATCTTACAAGGCAAGTAAGAGTAACAAAGTAGAGCATTGACCGAGACAGGCAGTATAAAGAAATTTGTTAATTAAGAAAATTAATACAACATAAGGTATCTTCAAAGTCAAGGAAATCTAGAACGTTAAATGATTATGAATACATAGTTGTGGAGTTTGAAAGACTGATACATGGAAGGGAAGGGTTTATTAATTAAATAATGTAGGTACATAAAGTTATAACAAACTTTGGTAAACAAACGGACTTCAACCTCTGTTTTTGAGGTCATTCTAGATAAAAATTATTATAAATGTATATACATATGTAGCTTCGTTTAGGTCTTTTGTTTCGCTTAGTGATAAATAACCATAATTAGTTTTCATAAAACTGATCTCTCTTTAATATTAATTTAAAGTTGGTCCATATAACCTTATTCCACAAGGAAGCTAGTAAAAAGAAAATAGTATTTGAAAAAAATACAGATTTTTTCTTGATTTATTGCATTATAACGAACAAAGTCAATAAACTTGCAAGCTTCATAATTTTATACGTTACTTTACATAAATCAAATTATTTACCAGTTTTACAAGTCGATTGAATTAATACGTTATTATGAACTGGCATAATGAGTAGTACTTTAATTTATTCCTAGGCATAAATACGCTCGCAGCAATTTTTAGACTTTCACCGGATCCACAATTACAACTAATAATCTCAGAAAATTTGGGTAATCTTGTTTTATCAACAAGAAGGAAAACATCGTAAGGAAACCTGGACTTATAAATTATAATTCCAAACTATAAGTTTGAAACAGCTAATCGGCCTTGATCAAGCGTGGTGATTAATACTCTAACCTTCTCCATGAGAGAAAAAGATTTGCTCAGCAGTGGGAGCCAACAGGCTGATGATGATGTTATATCAACTAAATTCTATATACCTATAAATAATGCTGAAATTTATATCATATACACTACAGAATAGCAGTATAAATACTCAACCACAAATTTTTAAGGTGAATTATTTGTTCAAAATTATTTATGAATATAATTTACAAACCAAATAACTACTTCTAATAATTAATTATTAAACTTAATCAAGGCTTACAGGTCAATTAAAAGGTAAGTTTACTGTACAACTTACTTAGTCGCTTGTGTAACTTGTTACTTTATTCTACATAATATGAAGTAAACAACACTAATTTATATTGTAACTAAGTGACTTTTATCTATTACTTTGTTTGCTTTTTGCCTTTTTTTAAAAGAGCTCTTTGAATTTAAACTAAGCTACGTCTTAAGAGTTCATTAGTGGTTTGAGAATAACAGTAAAATAAATAAAAAGTTTATATAACACATACGTAGTTACATATATTTATAAAACGTTATGAAAAAATTTAAAGTAATTTGTAACATATGCTGAATGGTCAAGAGGATTTTGAGAAAAGAAAAATCAGTAAAAGATATTTGATAGAGAATAATTTAAGATGTCCATGTCAATAGACTAAATGTCCAACCATAGATTTAAATCCATAAGGTGGTCTTGCTTAACAGTTAGAGGATTGGGAAACGATTGTCCGACTAGCACCGTGTGGATATCGCCCTTGACAGCAGTATTAAATATAATCATTTATTACCTCAGATAGTATCTAGCGTTAGCCTATGTTTGGTCTAAAATATATAAATCTATTGAATCATCAACATCACTTCACATACTGAACTGTGTTAAATATATTGTTCGTACTATTTATTTATGTTCGATGCTTGTTTTAATGCTCTTACATATGTACAATTGATATTCGTATCCTACTCCTGAAATACAAATATTATTTAATGAAATACCCATCAAGATATTTTTAAGTTCTTTTGTTTCAAACTACTCCTACAATCTCTTTGAAATAAGTAAGTGAAAAATTTAAGATATCCTAAATGTTATGTAGTTGATGAAATGTTTATACACATTTTTCCTGACATATTAAATTACAAAAATTACTATTTTTCTACTAAATTCAAAAATATTATGAATTAATTCATCTTTTACGAGCTTAAATTATAAGGAACATGCCTGTTTCTGTAACTATAATTTACATTAATAAAAAATATGACATCTAAACAAATAAAATTGCATATATTTTAGGGCAACCGCAATATTTTAAAATCTTCTAGTGAGGTTTGTTTTATGAGATAATTTTTTTCTACAAAATTTCTTGTGAATTTGTTACCTAATATTGGAGTTCTTACTGTATTGCAGTTCGTAGCAAAAGACTTTCTAAACTGAAGAAATAGTTTGTACAGATGAAATCGTGGTGAAAATTCTTAACTAAAAAATTATTAAAGTAGGAATGCTCAAAAAGTTAAAGAATATTCAGAGTCCACTTTCTCTTCTAGAATCTGTGTTTTATGGAACGGTTTTGTTCAAACACTTTTAATTAAAGCAGCAATATTTAATTCCCAAAAGAATTAAAAACATAAGAGAAATCAAAGAAAACATTCATAATTTTCGAAATATTTTCATGTTTTGTAAATAAATTTAAAAGTTATACAAGTATCATTTGTATGGTTTGCTGTTCTTGATAAAATATCTGGATAAAATATCTAATTGTTTGACAATATTTTTCCAAATATTTCACTACAGGGTGGTTAAATAAAAACTGCTCTGTAATTTATGTATGCTTGGAAAGTAAAGAATTGAAACTGAAGACAATAATTGTTATTTTTTCCTCATTTTCTTAAACGATAGTTTAGTCGGGATGGATGAATAATTCCCAAACATATGCATCAAAATACTTAGTTTGTTTACCCCAATAATAAAACTATATATGTACATACCCTCTATATTTAGAAACCTTATAATTTTATGTACTTCGTAAAAAAATTTTGAGCATTTTGGTTACTCCTTCATCAGAGTAATGTTTTTTGTATGAAATTTGAATAACAAAATCATGATGATTTCTTCATAATTTTCTTTCTTCGAGTTTACTCGTCTATCTATTTAACAATAGTTAAAAGAAATTAATATTTTTTTTGTTATTTCAGCACTTTTTATTCTGCTGATAATTTTGGAATTTAAGATCGTCAAAATAAACAACATAAGTATTAAGTATCGTTTCAACGGTAAAGGCCTCGCTAAAAATAAAAAGGTTTGATCACTGAATCCAAATAAAAAGATTAAAAAGGTCGTTCAACTTAAAATTAAATTTGTTTGTGTTTTTTTTTGTATTTATCTCTTAAACATAATATTCATCGTCACATATTTAAACAATGGAACATTTCCAACCTGAGTTTACATGATTTTCAAAATATTATAAACTTTTTTCCCAAATGTTTTGCAATACCTGCATATTATGCGTAGTTAATATTTATAAACATATAGATTCCACTTTTAACTTCAATAAGAATATCATTAGGTACAGTGTTGCATTTCTTTTTTGCATTTGTGTATATGCTTCTACATTTCAGCTTATTTCTAAATAAAAATAACCAAAGCATTTACTTAAACAAGGATGGGATAATTTTAGGAATATAACATTTTATACATTTTTTCTTAACACAATTTTATTCATTGTATGAAAAACAAGTAAAATGAGAATTGATGTCGGATAAATGACATTTAACGGTTTTTTATTGTAACAATCCACTTGATCTCAATAATACATTCATTTAGACGTGTTTTTATATGTATAAATGTCAGGTTTTCTTTGCCAACCTATGCAATTTTTTTTTTCATTACTACTCATTCAAAATATTTAATCTCTAGACCATTTGCGTACTATCTGATCCAATATCGTGCCTGTATAAAATCTACCACCAATATATTGATCGAATTGTGTCATTACCCTCTTTGAAATTAATTATCCTAAAAACAGTAAATATATATGTATTTCCTTTTCAGTTTTACATCTTTTAAAAGGCTTTATATTAGAAGATTTTTTTTTATTTCAACAAGATGGTAGTTGATAATTATCATTCTATCTGTTGACAGATTGACATGAAAACTTCAATATTGAATGCATTATCTTACTAACAACCTGTTCACGTTCTAGTATTGAGGGTGTCCTCAAATTACGAGTATAATTGAAGGGAAACAAAGACGTAGTTAAAGTATGCCAATCCTTTGCTCTTTGCGTGAGGAGAGCGGAGGTTTATAACTTCATCCGGGTACCAAGAAGGTATGCTAACAAAATACATAAGACCTGCAATGCATCTAGTTGTCCAAAGATGAAAAAAGATGCAGGAATTAAGCCGTGCAACTTTTGGGAACGCTCACTTTAGTGTATTCTATAGAATACCGAGAGTTACTATAAACATGTGATTGAGCCTGGCCAGATTAATTTCAGTCCAGCTGTATTCACTTTGAAAACTTATTCAACGGCTCTCCACGGAGTATGAAAGTAATACATTTATTTTTCAGTATGCTTATCACAAATTCACATAGTCAAGCTACAATGGAGGCGTTTTCTGTTTGCCTTTCAATCTTATAAGTTAATACCATAATGTGCGATGATTTATAAATGAAAATATTTAAACGCTCCGCATTTTTCGTGAAGATGCAAGCTTGGGGCAAGGATTCAGATGTTTATCATTCTATAAAACATAAAATATTTTTAACGATATCATGATATCATCTCTGATAAAATTTAAATGTTAATGTTTGTTATATTACCGTAATATTTGGCAAGATGTTTTATATAATCTATGTACTTATTTTTATTTTTTTTATTTTTCAATTTGTAAAATTATTTATTAGTTTTATTTCAAAATTTCATCATAATTCTGTGCGATGACTACAATAAACACTCGAGCTAAATCTCCAACCAGAGCAGAGGCTATAGCCAAAGCTTTGAAACTTAGTCCGGTTTTCTGTACAGGAGTACTCCTAGATAACGGACGAGGCAATGGCGACCGTGCAATGGCGGTATAACCATACGCTCTACTGAAGTATCTACGTCATCTTCAGTAGTAAGAGGCTACAGCGACCTTGGAGTTTAAATAGCTCCTAAAATGTCTGGTGCAGAAGGCAAGGGGAAACCACTGCACTATATTCCCAAGAAAGTCATCATCAAGTTAGATGAGTGGCGACGTGTTGTGAAGCGTGCCACCGCACATCATGATGACCACGACCGTTCTGCCAAGAACGTATCGACTTAGAAGAAGAAGAAGAAGAATGTACTTATTACCTTACTCCTTCTATTGACTATATTATGTTTATAATATTTTTTTATCAGTAACAAAATAAAATACAAGTAATTGTATATAATGTGTAATTACATATTTGTTATTGTTTCAATATTTGAGTTAAACATAGTTTTTTAAAACTCGTGAAAACCGTAAAATGTTTTTAAGTACCTAAAAACTTCCAGCCAATAATTATGAGTGCTTATCATATGCGATTCGATTAATTCATAATTTAAAGTAATATGACAATACTGAACACTGAAAATAATTAGCAAACAATGACAAATGTTAGGTGAAACGGTTCAAGGATAAAAAGAAAACAAACTGCTCATTTAAGGGCAATAATAAATAACATCGTTAATTAAAATTAATATTACTCAATTTATTAAATTGATCTATTTAAAAAAATTGTGAAAACAGTAAACAATTGATTTATGAAGATAATAGCTATGTATGTGTATAAAAATATTTCTTTTCATTTTAATTGTTTTTTATTTCTGTTGTTTTGATATCAGAAATTTCAAAAACTTTAAGAATAGCATGTATCAAAATTGTTATATTTTGTTAATAAATGTAAATAAAATTCTGCAAGGTTGTCTTCCCCTTAAATGATTTTTTTTAAATAACAGCAATTTAATAAGGAATAATGTATTTAAGTAGTAAAAAATACAAAGTACAACGATTTCTTGATTGTTAACGGACCGTTTTGAACAAATTTTATTAGTGATTAGATATCAGGTGAGTACGTTAGTGATATTATATTTGGACATAAAAAAGTGGTCAGATAGTAGACATAAGGCATCTAAGGAGAATAAACAAATTTAAAGTATTTTTTCATATCAGATAATCTTCTATTAAAATGACGGTGGTTGAAGATATCCAGCCGCACCAATGGAACTCCACGCGTCTTTACTTCTATCCGTTGGTCATCCTCGCGACAAGTCTTTGGCTGCTATACAGATGGCAGCAACAAACTAAAATGTATAAGTTGGGGAACAAGATACCCGGTCCCTTGGCGTTGCCGATTTTTGGAAATGCACTTTTGGCCATAAATAAGAAACCAGAGCGTCAGTTCCATTTCAATACTTTAAATAAATACTTACATTGGCTTTCAATGGACAGAAATAGTGTTTTAAGAAATTTAATTATTAATTTATTGTAATATACCAACTACCTAAAAAAATTATATGAATTTTCTTCCTCAGAACTTTTAAGTATTGCCCTGGAATATTATGCGTATTATGGCTCTGTGGTGAGAGGATGGCTGGGAAACAACTTGATAATATTTTTGGCGGACCCAAATGACGTTGAAGTAATTTTAAACAGCAATGTCCATATTGACAAGGCATCCGAATATAAATTCTTCCAACCGTGGCTAGGAGAAGGGCTACTCATTAGCTCAGGTATGAATTATTTGACTCTTAAAAAATGACTTTTCCATAAAATTTGGTTTGTGTAAGAAATTAGTTTTATAATACTTATAAATTTTAGGAGAAAAATGGAGGTCCCATCGCAAAATGATAGCCCCTACTTTCCATATAAATATCCTCAAATCTTTCGTGGGAGTTTTTAATCAAAACAGCAAGAACGTTGTGGAAAAAATGCGTGGTGAAATGGGAAAAGTGTTCGATGTTCATGACTATATGAGCGGCGTCACTGTGGATATTCTTCTGGGTAAGATTTTGTTCTTATATATTAATATGGATAGGTTAAGAATTATGCCGAAAAAGATACCTTTATATGCGTTTTGAAAGACAGCCAAAAAAAATTTATATAAACGAAATCTTTAAGGTTTGTAACAAAAAATATATATTTAATATAATATTTGCCTTAAGATTGGGCAAATTTTGTACAAGTCAATTACTACTTTATATTACTTCAACTATTAAGCCCCCTCCCCACATAATACATGCGCTAACGCTTTCTTTTAATGTAAGGAAACTTATATTAATAATTGTCACTGCGTATAATTTTTGTTTTTATTATTCTAACTTTAATATGTAAAAGAGAAATTGTCAAAATACTTATATTAATATACATTAAAATTATTTTATATTCCTACAATGATGAATATTACAACTGAATCAAAACGAAAATAGAAAATAAGGACTGTAAATTTTATCAACACATACATGACTCAAGATATTACTTCGTTGCAGTTTGAACATCTTAAATTCTTTTCTACTTTTACATATATAGCATATAAGTTTTATTACAAAAAAATTAATTGTTCATTAGGCGCCTATCATTTGTGTTTATCTTTAAAAAACTAAGTAGAAACATTTGTACCCATTATTCTAAAAGCTTTGTATTAACCTACGTTCTCGAAGTAACTCCATGCTTTATGCTATAAAAGTGCAGATGCTACAACTATTAGATAATATTACCCTTAATGAAAATATTTTCAAAAGATTTAGCGGGAAATTGGATTGCAAAACATAATTGATTCATTTTAAAAAAGCTAAGAGAAGATGTTACTAAAACTTCATGACTATTAGAAACCGTTTTACTTAAATAATATGTATAATATTAATGTCATTGTATATGTAAAAACTACTTGTGCAATGGTGCCTTAATTTTGTTTATAGCAATATACCTAATAAATGAAAATATCTTAATATTCATTCAGGCTAACGTTTTCTAATGCCGTCATTAATATGAGGCAAGGATAGTGTTGTAAAAATTTAAAGAGTGATTATTTTCCTATAAAATATGGTTAATGATTATTTTCCTATAAAAATTTCAAATTAAAAATGTTCTGTACTTACTATACCTACATTTAGTAAATTAATATACAAATACTCAATAACATTTTAAAATCCCTGAACTTAGTATAATTAAGTATTAATTATCGACGACTTTTTACACTTGTCTGAATTATATATTATTAATAAATTATGGCTATACAAAATTATTCAGACAAAGCATATGTCTTTTAAGTGACTGTAATTAATATCATCAAAAATTTGTATAAAAATGACTGTTTATTTTAGAAACTGCAATGGGAATCACCAAAGAAACTCAAGATCAATCTGGTTTCGACTATGCTATGGCAGTGATGAAGTAAGTACTATAAGTAAATACTCTATATAAGAACTCATATTAAATATACTCTATATAAGAACTCATATTGTAAAAGAAACATTTACATTATTGGTGTATTTCAGAATGTGTGATATAATCCACCAAAGGCATTACAAAATCTGGTTGCGTTTCGATGCTCTATTTAAATTCACTTCATTCTTTGAAAAACAGAAGAAGCTGCTAGAAATTATTCATGGATTAACAAATAAGGTAATGATTTAAGATTAAACTCAACTCAACTAGTACTAATTAAAGTTCTCTTTAAAATTATCAATAATGACAACAAATTAATAATGGTTGGATTGGTATTATTTACACACTTTTCTTGAAAATGAGGAACGCATCCAAAACATAGAGGAAAAATTTAGCATAAATTTTTATGTTTAGGTAATCAAAAACAAGAAAGAACGTTATCTCCAAAATAAAGCCAAGGGTATCATACCACCAACGATCGACGAAATTTCAAAAACCACTCCTAAAACTGAAAATTATAATGTATTAGCCAACGAAAAAACGCTCGCTGATACAGTATTCAAGGGCTACAGAGATGATTTAGATTTCAATGACGAAAACGATGTCGGTAAGCAGAATAAGATTATACAAACTTAAAGGCATTTGTATCAACATTATAATTCAAATTTATTTAATGACTTAGAAGTTAAATCTATTTACTTAAAGTAAATACTATTTTATATTATATTAGGTGAGAAAAAACGTCTGGCTTTCCTGGACCTCATGATTGAATCAGCACAAAACGGATCAAACAAGATCACAGATTTTGAAATCAAAGAGGAAGTTGACACCATTATGTTTGAGGCATGTATTAGCTTGACAACTACATAAATAGTAATAACAATTACTTTCAAAACATCAAAAATTATAATATATATAGTCATCATAGAATATATTTATACCATTGTTGTAAAATATAACATGATAGTAATTTTAATGTTAACCTATATTAACGAATGGTATTGTTTGGGCTATTTTTTTCCAGGTAACTTATATTTGAAAAGGTTTATTTGCAATAAATATGGAATTAAATTATATAGTTTTAAAAATATTTTGGTTTGCTAAACATATTTTAAGATTTTGCGATAGTTCAATTTAAAACATTGACCACAAATTCCAATGTAGTTGAAATGATTTTAAAATCTTTAATAACCATAAATTAATGTCCAGAAATATAAAAAAACTCAAAATATTTTGCTAACCTCAAAACTCAAGGTTAACAAGGTTAGACTTACAAAAACTACCAAAAAGTTATAAAACCAACACCTGCTTTTCAAAAGAAGAAGAAAGGAAGAAATATGCGTCTTCCGATTTTTTACATCAATAACAGAAAAAAAAATGCATTAAAACAAAATTGTTGTAAGTTGGGTTAACTGTCATATTTAATAATTTAATATTATACATTTTAGGGCCATGACACCACCGCAGCTGGATCCAGTTTTGTGCTTTGTCTTCTGGGTATTCACCAGGATATCCAAGCCAGGGTTTACGACGAGTTGTATGGAATTTTCGGAGACTCCGACCGCCCCGCCACTTTCGAGGACACCCTCCAGATGAAATACTTGGAGCGCGTCATCTTTGAATCGTTGAGGATGTACCCACCGGTACCTATTATTGCCAGGAAAATTAACCGTGATGTTAAGATAGGTTGGTAAAAATATCCTTATGTCACTTTAAGGTGACTTATCGTGTAAAACTTTATCTTCCTGTTTTTTTTTATTACAGTAGCTCTTGAAAGTATATTTAACATGGTTTTATTTTGCATAATTCTAGCAACAAATGACTACGTTTTGCCAGCTGGATGCACTGTGGTGATTGGAACATATGGAATCCACAGAAACCCTAAATATTATGAAAATCCCGACGTTTTCAACCCCGATAACTTCCTACCTGAGAAGACACAGAATAGACACTATTACAGCTACATACCATTCAGTGCTGGGCCTAGGAGTTGTGTTGGTAAGATTTATCCTATAAATTTTATTTATAAAAAAGATAAACATATATTAAACGCTACAATCTTTCGAGTTCGAAAAGGAATTTAAGAAACGAAAAAACTGGATAGTATCGAAAATAAAAACGAGTTAGAAGCCAGTTGATGATTAGTATGAATTATTATGACTTTTTTAATTTATACAATGGCACGTGCCAATACTAGCTTGTATATTAAATAGAGTATTTGGTTTCCGAAAAAAATACATCAAATTGTATATCATTAAAGACGAGTTCAAAAAATACATTCAAGCTTTAAATCAAAATTCTACCTCAACTATATCTCTAAAATTATATCTAATTTTTTTTTCAAATTTGTTTTCTTAAAGATTTTCAGAGCAGTATCTACGTACTTCTGTGAGAAAGTTTAATTTTCTTGATTAAAAGTGAAATGTGCACTTACATCTAATTTATTTTCAATTTACAAATACACTCATTATGTTTCAAAGTCAGTCAGTTTTAAAGTTTTACATATCTTAGTTTACATTGACACAAGATTTTTTTATTGTTTTTAGGACGTAAGTACGCCATTTTAAAGCTGAAAATTTTACTATCGACAATCCTTCGCAATTACAAAATGGTGTCTGACATAACTGAGGATAAATTTGTCCTGCAAGCTGACATCATTCTGAAAAGACACGATGGCTTTAGGGTCCAGATTGAACCAAGGAAACGTGTTCCATCCACAGCATAATGTATTATAAAACAATAAATTATATATTTTATTAAAATATTTATATGCCATGTATATATTTAAATTATTGTATTGAATCAAATTTAACATTCTATTAATTATATCCCTATAACGATGGCAGTTACATTTTTTCATTAGGGTAGGTATCTAAAATTATATATATATATAATATATGAATAATATATGGAAATACATTATTAAATTACAAATGTTTTATTTGTCTTATCTTTATTGGAAATTATATAAACATCGTATTTTGTAATTGTAGCAAAATTCTGATGTCCTTTAAGATGATGATGATATTCTCAACTTAACATACTACATATTGGTCACGTGTATTATATTTTATAATAATTTAAATTATTTACATTAATAAATAAAATAGTCATTTAAAAACATTATGAAACATCGTATTAGAATATATTTTTTTATTATTGGTCTATAAACCAGGAACATTAATAAAATCAAAAGCGAGTTTCGTAAAATATTATTTACTATAAATTAAAATTTTGTAGTCACAAAATTTCTTAGTTTTATATAAAGTAAAAAAAATCAAACCAAAAAGTTTATGGAGTCCAAAAATACGACCTTGAACTAGGAACCGGTATGAAACAAAATATTTCTATAACTAAGGCAGACTCGCCAAATGTTCGACTATTTTACAATTCATAATGTATATTAAAAATATATATATATTGTTTATCAAATTAGTCTATCGTACATATTATAATGAAATACTCTATGATTAACTATGTTATTATTAAAGCTCAATTAAAAGGTTTGGTAAAATTACAAACATTAAATAACGGTAACAAAAGCAACAAGCTTAATATAAACAATTTTACTAATCGAAACCATCTTATATGTAAATTATTCTATAACTAATAGGAAAGTCTCAGGAGTCAAGTTTTCGATAAACGATGTATTCAACAGTCCAAATAACAACACAAACTAAACAACAGAAGCTCATGGCGATGAAGCAGTTCACATAGCTGCCGGTTGCCTCGTAGATGACACCTGAAAAAATATATCATTATTGAAAATGATTTAACTAGTAAACCTAAAGCTTCTAACCAAATGTGTATCCAAATAATCTATAATACAATTTTTAGAATTATTGGCATGATTGGAAGTTAAATCAACAAATTATCAGTATACATTATTTAAAAACAAACATTAACGAACAAATTAAAAATAAATCAAAATAGGGCTCAACAAAGTTTTGTTTTGATATTTTGATCTGCGTGAAAAAAAAATTACGATAAGCTTTTCAAATACAATGAAGGTATAGGATTATGTCAAATATAATTAAGAAATACCAACCAATCAAAGGGTCAGCCATTAGCATCAAGAAACCCGAGAATAAAATATGCAAAGCCAGAGCTGCTGGGAAACGATCTGGTGCAGCTGTTACCAGGACCAGAGGAAACAACACCTGGACGGAACATCGAACCAGACCAGATACAGCAGTGATGCCGATCACAAAGTACAGGTTATCAGAAGTCACCAACGCTGTGAAATAAAGTCACAATGACTGTATATATATATTTCGAAGAGGAAAAATCCACTCATGTTTATAAACGTGACATTTTATACATTTTATTTGAAATGCCTGACATATTCAAAAAATTTGACGACAATTTGTGTAATTTTAAACTTACCTATTCTCAATAACATAGTTACACATGTACCAGCAAAAAATAGAGTTTTGCTGTCTACAGTATAAAAGTAAGTAAAAACAGCGAGACAAAATCTAGCTATAAGATCTGCGATAGCCCCTATCATCACACACGTTGCTACTTGCATCTGAAAAGATAAATTTTAATTTAACGAATGCTAACCGCGTACATTTGTTCTACCTAACAATTTAATTAATTAAATATACCTTAGGAAAAAATTTTAATAAAACCTAAGTCTTAAGATCGGTAATTGTTACACCCTTAGTACCATTTCGTATCATCAACTTAATACCAACGGTATTAACGTTTTCATTCATTATTTGTCACGAAGTTGATGTAATATTAAACGTCTGTTTAAACTACCAAACAAGTTCATGACTCAAACTCATATTGATGATAGCGGTAATAAATAATAATTGAAGGAATTTTATATTAAAACTTCTTCAATGGAATAATAAATAAACAATTGTGATGCATTAAAGATTTATTATACATATATCCTTATTGTCGTATAGAATATATTATGGAAATTTAGTTTTGATTAATTATCTTACATTTTACCTTGGTATATCCGTATGAGAACAATAACATAGGCTCCATGGCTAAATATGTCACGTCAGACACAAAAGCGAATCCTAGTCCGATTAAAGTGCTTACAAATCTAGGATCCTTCAGAAGATCCAACTCAACATTATCATATATTACTTTTCTGCAAATAACAAATGATTTCTTAATATTGCGCAACAAACCAGAGGCTAATTATGCATAGGTTTTGAGTACCTTAAAGCAATATATTTGTTTACTTAAAGTTATAAGAGTCGTTAAGTTAATTTATAGCATATAAAATAAAAACATTTGTGTGTTTGTGTTTTTTGCCGATGTTGTCAAATATTTAAAATCTTAAACTAAATTTGTAAAACGTATCAGACGTTTACTATTAAAAATGAATTAAAAACTATGTGTTACATCAATTTTGAACAAAAAAGAAAGGATGATTAGACGATGCAATTACGTACTGCATTAATATTGCAGTACGTTATCATATAACCACTTAATTACGAATTATCAGGAAGTTATGTAAAAACAATTGTAATAAACTTACATTATACTTTTTTGGATCGACTCGTGTCGAGTTGAACTTGATTTTATTTCAATGACATTGTCGTCACCTGGTAACATTTTTATAATTGATTCATCAAATATATCATTATTAATGCATTTCTTTTTAGGACTTTTGACTTCAGAAATTTGAGACATCTCTGAAATATTTATAATGAATAAAAATAGAGCACTACGAATAAATAACAACCAAGCAATAAGTAAAACAAAAAGAAAACAAAGTTACGGTATGAATATTGACACCAGAAATACAAATAGGTTTTTAAAACATTTCGACTGCCTCGAAATACATGATAAAGAATGACGTCAAACTAAAAGAAATGTACCTTTATCTTGACATCCTTGTACTTTAATCTGGTGCCATTCAACTGGATGCATAACCAGCATTGCAAAAATCAAATGTAAATCAACCGCCATTATGAGAGCGAGGGTCCATCGGAACCCGTACTCCGATAGAAGGAACGTCACCAGTATGGGAAATGTTATGGAAGCCATACTGCTCATGGTCTGATTGGCGCTCATCATTGCAGTTCGCTTTTTAGTAAAGTAACAATTAAATGCAGTGAAGCTGACGGGTATCATGACCCCGAAACCGGCACCTGAAAAAGATTTTTTCTTCTTGATACAAAACTGGTGACATGAAGTTACATTTTATTTATTATTGCCAAAACTTGCCGTGATAATAATAGATTGGTAAAGGTTTAAATCAAGGAAAGTGTAATATAACATTTATCACTATTTAGTTAAATTTATAATATAAAAACTTTCCAATAGGAAATAAAGTGAATTAATAAAGTTTTTCTTCTGTTTAAATGTATTTTTTTAAAGGATTCATTATAATTACCTCTTATAACTCCAAACGTAAAAGCTAGTTGATAGGTTCTTTCTACAAATATAGTTAATATATCTCCCAAAACAAACAGTCCCGCACCGACCAGTCCAACTTGACGAAAAGAATACTTCTTGAGAGCAATTCCGCTGAGAAATCCTTTAAAAAAGATATAACATTTTAGAAAATGTGATATCTCATTTCCGTTTTAATTAGCAAATAAATTAAAATATTTTTTTATTCTCACTCGCCATTAAAATGATGACATTGCTAACTAATAAACTTGAACTTTGATAGAAACTAGATCAATTGAAGTCCTAATTCACAGACATCCAATAGGGCTTTGAGCTAATAAATGTGGGTTAAGCACGAGACAAAACCTTGAACGAATTCTGTGTAACGAAATAAACTTCATTATGTGGTCTTGGCATTGTTTTTAGATGGATATCGGTCAAATCAATCACTGGACGATATGCCATTGACAATCATAAATCGGCAGCTTTATTCAATCAGCAGCAGATTATTGTTTTAAAATGTAGACCTATTCAAATCGTAACCTGAGCCTTGGCGCCTACTTTCAAAGATGATCATATAACATTGACGTAATGAAAGTTTAAAGATTAATTAATAAAATCAAATGCTCTGTTTTTATACAAAACATGATAATTGCAATTAGTTTTAATATTTTTGGACATTATACTAAAACATACGTTTTATAAGTAGAAAAATATGACATATTTTTTTGGAATATTTAAATAAATTTATAGTATGATTATTACTTGGTATCGAAATCTAAAAGTAATTTTATTTCTAAATTACCTGATATGGATAAAGCTCCGTTATAAATTCCAATAACTAGTGGCAGACCACTAGCACCGTCTTGTTCTATAAAAAAGTTGTTAAATAGTATACCAAATGCATTTGAAGATCCAAATCCCAGCATCTACAAAAAAAAATTAGGAAATATAGTAAAATTATTACCCAGATGTATTTTATGTTATGCAAGATTTAGAACTTTATCTTTAAAAATATATAAAACATGCCAATTTTGCTTTCTACAATATAATTTTAGAGATAGATCTAAATATAGTAAAGGATAATTTCCGCCTAAAGATTTAAAGGTAGTGAGATTCAACGATTTTTCATATTAATTTAGTCTTTGTAATATAAATTTAGTTTACAAAATTTTAGTATATTTACTATTTACAAAATTAAGTTGAAATTGTATTCTAATAAGTATAGATTTCCATAGGATAAATACCTACGCAAGATAAATAAATTCAGTACAATCCATAATTTTATATGTTATTTAATATTAGGCCTTAAGAAAACAAACACACATCCACATAATATATCCATCCATAAAATTCTTAAAACCTTTTGGTAAACCTCAAAAATAAAATTTGAAAGTCCAAAGTATGTAGTGTAATATTCGGTTCCATACACTTTATCCAGTTTTTGTAATTAAGTTATTCAGTTTGTGTTTGTACAGTTTGAAGAAACAAAAAAAATGTATATAAACCATTCTTAGATATGATAATATAAAAATAAGTAAAGGTTTTCAAATACTTTACAATTATAATAAGATGCAAAGATATTACAAATATAATGAAATCAGAAAAATTATATTTTTAAAATAGTTTTCCGTCTAAAATTTTAACCTCTTATCAATAAATTATTTCGACAAAGATAACGAGAAATAATTGCTTAACTAATATTTTATATATTTCCAATTAAAAAATAGTAACTTTTATTCCAAATTTATATGTTAACTAAGTCATCTAATGAACCAAGTTACCTTGTGAATGAACTTCGAACTTATAATTATAGAGTTTAAAAATCGTTAAGATATGAGAAAACATCAAAATTGATCTCGTTTCAATGAATTTTTTAATACATTACACCGAAATCCTCCTGAAAATCATATTTTTGGGAGCCTTCCAAAAATACTGAAAAAAGCATTTTTTCGATTTTACTCTTTTTAAAACAAAGTACTGTTTCCAATTTATTTTATTGTTTTAAAAACAGCTATTACTACAATCTTTTCATGATCGTATACTAAAATCTCGTCAGTCTGCTAAATTGTTTATTTTAGCTTTTTAATAGATAAAGGACAAATCTTAAAAAGTATACTATGCAGTTTCTATTAGGAGTAAAAATCGTCTTTTAGAATCTAGATTATACTTTATTTTAAGAATGTTTAATTGAATTATTATATAAAACGACGCTTTATGAAGCTAAGGTTTTGCTCGGCCAATGTCTCAATAATTGGATCATTCGTTAAATTTAATATTAACTCATAATAATATATATATACATATAAAATTAATACATTAATATATAATTGTTACTCATAATAATTACAATAATCCTTCACAAACAATAAAATAGATTAAATTCTGTAAAAAGCAATCACTTCATGTGCACGACATAAAAAAAATAAGCAAATTTCGTACAATTTATTAACGTTGCTCATGAATCAAAATCGAATTTATTTAATTTGCCCACGTGTACGTAATAAAAATTAAAATATTCTTTATAATATAATCATTATAAAGATAAAAATTTGAGAATATAAGACAAGTCGGTTGACCAAATACAGATAAGGAATCATTTAACGTTCGAAACTTGTGCCAACAAACGTCACAGCATCGGAATGAAAGGATTGAGTTACAATTCCTTATACAAAAAACTTTTGCATTTGTGTAGTATTGTTTCTTAATCTTTCACTACCAATAACCTTATCTATTTTTATTTAAAGCTATATTACCCTATTTTTAAAAAATGTCTTAATAAGGTCTATGTAATTGTGACCAAAGTATATAGATGTACGTCGGAAATCGGAATAACAATATCAAATATAAATTTTAAAAAATGTGTTTCATCTGAACTTGTTTTCTTGGATCTCAAATTTTAAGAAAAGTACGATAGATAACTCATAATTAAACATCAATGATATGTTGAGATGGGATTATAAATATATATTAGAAATTGTATTTACTATCAAATACCTATATATTCATGTATATGAGGGAATTAAATACTTCCTGTTTACTATGTGGGTAAATAACCTTCACATGATATGTAACAGTAACCTAATCTTGAAACGTCAAGGACATAAATATTTCTTAAATATGTAATTGAATCCTTCACGAAATAAAATGCCGTAAAAAAAGAATCTAAATTTTACATATGAATATAGAAAGGCATAGATTGTATTACCTGTTCAGAATTCTGCATTTTAAAAACTAAGGTACATGTAAGTATAGGTACATTTATCTAAAGGGGTTTTGGTAAAATTATGATTTGGGTCCGTTCATAATACATATAAGAAACACGTTTATCGTTGTCGTTTGGCTCCGTGAGATACTGATTAATTGTCCTTATATACATATATTAAAAATATGTATTTTAGAATCTATGTAGTAAAATAATATGTAGTGTAATCCATATGTAGTGAAATAATATTATAATTTTCTTTATCCCCATGGTGATAATAACTATTTTTAAATTTAATTTTTATTTTTGTAATGATAATTAAATTAAAAAGCAGAAAATTATATCATTAATCAGTCAATTATTATTATTGACTTTATAAAAAATTAAAACATTTGTGCGGTTTCGGAATAGATTTAATTTTTAATTATACGACCCATCAAGTATTCAAACCAGTTAAGATCAAAAATATATTTTTTTATCGTCTAAAACACTGGAATTTTATAAAATTTTATGATTTTTGAGTAATATTATAAAGGTCGTTTACGTAAAAAATTCTAATGAGTATATTCTAAATGTATGTATGAATTTTTATTTCTATATGTTATGAAATATTTAGAAGTTTAAAAAACACGTTAATTTATGTTTAAGAACACATTGTAGCTTCTAATTAGTAATAAATATAAAAATAATGTTATCTTTAATAGGACCATTTCTATTTAGACAAAAAACTTTAAAAACAGTTCAATGATTTATATACGACTATTCATAATTTACAACTAATTATAATTACACACTGATTTCATTTATAAGTGATTATTTCTCAACAACTACGGTTGTAGTATAATAATTATTTACAAATTTTAATAACATATTAATGATATTCCAATACTTATTACTGTACATGTTTGTTAAAAATACAACATAATTATGTATAATATTTGCATCCGCGATGTTCCACAAGAACGACTTATCATTTACGACAATTATTAATTTATCGTTATTTTAAAATATAAACGATGTGATATAAAATTATTTTCTACTATCGATTTACTTATATTTATGACGGTCCCTATATATAATAAATATGTTGTAATAAATTTAAATCTCATAAGAATAAAGCTACAGTTTTTTTCTAATATTTCTAAGAATATAAAGTTAAGCAGAAAAACTTACAAAAGTGAATCCAACTCCGATGCAAACAGCATACCCCCAACCACCGTCTGGGGATGTAACTGATTTTTTCCCCTGTGTATTTCCCTCAAGATGTGCAAATGCTTCATCCATTTTGATTCAAGAAATCGAAAAAATATGATCCAAAAAATAATAATGATTTATCGAAGCACGATCATCTATATTTTAATACAACACGCACCAGTAACGTATACACGGCGTCTGTTGGTAGCTCTAGTACTCTTTGCAGTATAAGGCTGCGATCTGTATTAAGGACGTTTTGATTGGATCGTGTGATTGCGTATAGTCAACTTTTTATTATGTTTTCATTCATTAAATACATCGATTCGTAAATTAAAAGACGTCCATCTTTGACGTATTTAAGCATACATCACAATAATTTTTAATTTTTTTTTCATAACGTAAGAATTGAAGTTTTTTTTTAAATTTATATTTTACAAATAGACGTTCTAAATATTTTGTAGTAAGTTCATATTTGTTACGTGATTTTTTTATAAATTAGAGAACACAATTTTAAATGCAAAATTATTGATATACATATGTATGCCAGTCTTAATAATGGATTTTTTAAGGAGGTTTTTAGATGAATGGCCTTTTGATTTATTTTATTCTATGAATATGTCTAGATTCTTAAACGGAAAAAATTTGTGAAAGATGCTTTTTTATTTTGTTTCTTATTCTTCCTAATCACAGCTATTCTTTTGGTCTTATTCCGTCTTGATTTTCCAGGATCAATCCTACCGAGTAAAATTTTAGCATTTATTGTGTAAACATTCAAAAAAATTTCTTCAATCAATTGAGTTCTCCTGTCTCTATTATAAGAGATAGAGAGAGGAGAACTATCTTTATCTCTCTCTCTCTCTCTCTCTCTCTTCTATCTCTATTTCTTGTATTTCTTTCGTATACGTTACGAACACGTATATGACAAAAAAAACTTTGATTTAAAATTAAAAAATATATATGTAATTGTTTTAGTATAGATAACATTTACATGTATATGTTTTTTCCAATACAATTTCATTGTCATTTTGGTAAAATTTTAAAATCGCAGCAAATTATTATATCATTCAACATTTTACAACAAATGAATTAAAAGCATTTGACCTTGATATTGAAATGACTTTATATTTTTGATATCTGATTTTTGTATGTATTTATTTGAAGTGAATAGTTCAAAGTTTCTTTGTCCTTAAACGTTTTTAAAGAAAGATTGGCAGAGAATGAAAATGTCACTATGATATCTGTAATATTAATGTTAACGCATATTTTGTTACAAATAAAATTTGTTAAGTAATGAATATAGTCGCAATATTGAAAAATGATATTGAAAAATATAAAGTAGGTAAATAAAAGTAGAATTAGAATGATTCATAGTTTTAGTGACTACAACTGAGGAAGTAATTTTTTTAAATTACTGTGAAATCAAAATTTCATATAATTTTACAAATATTTAACCCGAATAAAGGTTAAAGGGGAAATAACCACAAACGAACGATCAGTAGGTTTTGTGAGAGAAGACACTAGGGCTACAAAATCAAATGTCAAGCCTTACTCCATCCTTAAAGCGGCGTCTGATTGGACTATAATGATGGACACGTATGAAAAACAATATAAAATCTCCGAGGATTTTTGTGCGTCGGCCTCCAGACCGGATATATTTTTGTATTCGCGAATTTTAAAACGCGTAGTGATTATAGAGCTTACGGTTGCTTGGGAAACCAACATCCCCAAAGACCATACCACCAAGGTCAACAAATATTACGAGCTCACTAACGAACTCACTCGAAATAGGTAGAAGTGGGAGCGAGAGGTATAACTGCGAAATCTCTCTACAACCTACTAAAAGACTTGGGCTTGTCCAGAACTCACATTAATACATTCTTGGAGCGTACATCGAAGGCAGCCCTAGTAGTTTCTTTTTAAATTTGGTTAGGTAGGGAGAGAAGCTTGGACAGTGGAGGTGAGCGTATAACGCGCGTTAGATATGGAGCCCCTTAAACCTACACTTGGGTCGCAAGTCCCAGGCACTGTTGAAGCTCCTCTCCCTGCAACGCGATGGACCCGGCACCCGCACGGTGAATCCATAAAATGCTGAGAAGTTTCGTCTCTCTTCTCACACAGTTTTTGTACATTTTTTATGACTATAATTTTAATTTCATTTACTTAAAAAAATTCTATCTTGTGTAGGTATATTTACCTAAAGTGATTTGAAATCAATCATAATATATACAAAACAATAAAAAAACAGGATCTTACGAACCGGTTGGATTAAAAAAAATACTTAAAATAAAACTAAAATGTCAGGATAAAAAAAAATTAGAACTTGAAATCCAAGATCTCTCTTTTGCATAAAAAACCATATTTTACAATAAATATGACGAGAATCAAAACTAATAGGAATAACATTTTACATATCAGAATTTACAATATATGTTTTATACCTCGGTTTGTCTCTATATGTTAATTTTATATTGAATATCTTAGTTCACCGATATAATATGATTATTCAGGGAGATGAACATACATACATATAACGTTCACTAGACGTAGAGACTACCTGGTTAGTTCGACAGGACTATGAAGTTTCAAGACCGAGAGACGTGGCAGAGATTGGGAGAATTAATTCCAGGTTTATATACTGCATATTCATTTAGAACTAAGGTTACCGACATAGCTCGTAGAATAAGCCAGCTGAAGTGGCAGTGGGCTGGTCACATCTGCAGAAGGACCGACGCACGGTGGAGCAAGCGTGTCCTTGAGTGGAGACCGCGTCTCGGCAAACGTAGAGTAGGACGCCCCCCAGCTAGGTGGACCGATGACCTTAAAAAGGTCGCCTGCATATTCATTCCAGGTTTATATACTGCATATTCAAAATTAAAATTTTAAGTCAAAAAATATATATAAAAATTTCAATCTACACCATACAATATATTGAAAAATTAACATAGGTGAGGGAATAAGAAGGAAGGAAAGTTATAAACTCAAACTTTTTAATTTTATAGCTCCTAGTTTATTTATAATATGTTTATCAATTAATATTTAAAAATCAGATATTATATTAGATAATATTAATGTGTCAGACTCGGTTTTATTAAGTCTTAAATAGAATTTAGAAATTCATTAATGTAAATAAAATATGCCATACGTGAATTACAAAATAAGAGCATGGTAAAAAGCATGACCAACGATTTAATATTGAACAAACATTCTTGCTATTGTATGAGAATTAAAACGTCTATTTTTAAAAATTTCGTATCATATTACAAAGAATTAGTCCAAACACTCCGTGAACCGAAATGTTAAGGAAACCAATAAAATTTAATCCTCATTAGGCTCTTAACATCGGAGTGGACATTTGAAGCAAAACCAACGTTAAATATATATAAATTGAAGATTATTTTGTTTAAAAAGGACACCAAAATTACTTAAATATACATTTATATTGAAAATAATATATTTTATAAATACTTTACTCTATGTTTACATCGTTATTATAGTTATTTTCATTCCAAAACACTACTCCCATCCTATTGTAATTTACAATTGATACTTAATGTACATATATTTTTATTATAGTACAAGAGCCAGGGCCAGCCAGGCCTTCGTTAATTTATAAAAGCTGAAAATTTTTCTATAGATGTACCCAATACAGGTAGTGACGATCCCCACCTATGAAACTTCTGTCGCGGTGGCTTTGGCAGGTAACAGGTTCTAAAGGTGTATAAAAAAAAAAGAAATAATTTTCTTGCGGGCCCTGGCTCTTGCTCTATTACTTATTATGTGTATATAAATAAATCAATTGAACGAATTGAAGGTAAAGAGATAATTCGTTTTTTTACAGCAGAGCAGCATTTTTAGCTAGTGTCTTATTTTAATATTTTTATTTCTGCTGCAAAGAACTTATAAAATTAATTTAATAAAAAGAATAAGAGTAAAAAAACACTATTAGAAATATTTTTTCTACTTCCAAAAAATACAATTTTGAGAAATAGTTTCATACATTAAAACGTTTTCTTTTACCATAAACAAGTCTTTAAAACCTATGACACAATTTTATAGACAAAGAATCTTTTAACTAAAATGAATAACACGCATTCAGATCGTCCATATTCTATAACAACAAACTTTGGTATGTAATACCCAAATTCATATTGATATCTAAATACAACCAATAAATCTTTTTTATTTAAAATTTTACTAACACACATATAGAATCACGATTGTTTCGGACAACTAATTAACCAAAAGGAACCATGTAGTTTAAATAAGGCCATTTCTAGTAATACGATGACAATTAAAAGTAGGTCAAGTGTGTGTCAAAGTTACGCTCTAAGGGTTCTGTACGAAATAGGAGTATAAGTTATAAATACCTTTTAATGAACAAATAAAAGTGTAGCATATAAATTTTCCAACGAAACTTATTTACAGTCTTCTTATATGACAAATTGATAAATAATCTTTAGAGCTTTTAGATAAGGGACAAAGGCGATGTCCCAAAGCAATAAAATACATGACTTATGCATTCAAAGACCTCTTAATTAAATGATAGCAGTATTTCATAATTATTTACTACATTTTATTACATTTCCAACTATTAAACAGGATTGTTTATCTTCAACAAAATTCCGAAACATAATTGCAAAAAGAATATAGTCTAGAGGAGTATTGAAATAAGGAATACATATATAACTTTAAGTTATTTCGGCCACATTTAAGTTAAAGTCGGACAGAATGTTGACAACGTAGTTGACATTACCATTACTTATTTCCGGGAAGAAAGTTATTCTCATTGAAACAAAACGAATATTGTGCTTTAATCAACAATTTTCAACTAAAAAAATTCAAATACTTTTGTTAATATACTTACAACTGAATATACGTACGTTAATTCGTTTCAAATTCAAAAGTACCATTATAAAGTAAATGAAAAAGTCCCATTTTGAATCTACTATCTCTGGAGCTAGTTCATCGGATGAGCAAAAGCAATGGCGCTGGTGAATTAAATCAAATTGTACTAACTGTATCTTGAACTTGAGCTCTGGTGGTATAACCATGGACATGTTAGATAATTGCCAGCTGCTAGTCCTGCTGCA